GTTTGTCTGTCTGTCTATTTGCTTGTCTGTGTGTCTGTCTATTTTTAATAATGTCAGCCCTCTTATAAAGCAGTGTTTTCAGTGAAGAGTTCACCGAATTTAAATAAAAATTTCTGTCTGACAGTGTCTGTCTGTCAGCATGCAGTAAATCGAATGCGTAATTATCTAATTCATGCATGTTCATTCGGTGACGGAGGTGCGCAGTCTACAAGTACCCTGTTCTGGATAGAGAATTGAATGAGAGGGCATTGAAATTTGAACTATAAAAACTGCAATGTTAATTGATGATACTGAAATATGTACACGGTTGATAAAAAGCATTTTCTTACACTTTGATCAAAGAAACCATAATTCCTCGTGCAACAATAACCTTAGGTTTAGTTTATTCTTTGAAAATATACATAGTATGCAAAACAGTTACATATTCATTGAAAGTTTAGTATAGCTATGTAACAATATATATTGAGTAATTTTATTACTAGGTACATCTAAATGTACAAAGGCACAGTCGAAATACAGTACCATTGTCCATTTAATGGCATTTTCAATTCTATTTACATGTGATTGATATAGAATATTTTATACACATAATTATCGAGACCAGAGGGCAGTTGGTTAAAAAAGTTGCGCAGTAGTGCGAAAGTTAATGAAAATCTCGAATTTCCAGTAAACTGCTAGTTTACTACAAAATAGCAGTATACAACTGGCCCTTACCCCTAGGTATCTACCAGCCGTCCTGTGGACAATCACTTTTGACAAATAAGAATTTTAAACGGCCACTTTTTCAAAGACGACCTATGCAAATACTTTCTCTTGCTGCAGCTTGCAAGGCAAGTCTTTAGATAGCATGGCCCTATGTGAAACGCACAAATTGCGTTGCAAGCTGCAACAAAAATTGCCTTGTGTGACATTGGCTTCATGCTAATGCACATTGACAAGTCAAAATGCATGACCCTCCCCAGATTTGAACTTTTCATGAAAACAGTTTTGAAGGCCATTGGGGGGGGGGGGCGGCGCCGCCCCTCGGTTACGCCACTGAGTGTGTCTGGCACTCGATGGGTTAATCAGACTATCTGTGGATGCATCTTGTTAACCCAGTGAGTTACATTGTGACCTATGCACCCAACTTTATTATTTTACTTTGTGTAACGCCAGACAATTTTACTCCTCAAGAGGAGAGCCCTGGCACTCAATGGGTTGATCAGACTCTGTTCAATTACGCCCGGGTCCTCACCCCCCCCCCCC